GTTAATTTCCCCATCTTCCCTTCTTTCTCTGTAAAGTTATCTAACAATGCAAATGTGACATGTAGGCTGAAGTTGCTCTGGTTGGGTGAATATCTGCTTCAGTGGAGCGCTTTACTGTAGTAACTCACTGCAGGAGAAAGCCTGTGACTTTCTCTCTGTGTCTGTCTGTCTCTCACACACACATACACACACCTGTTCCCGCAGATGTGTCCTCCTTCTCCACGCTCATGGGCTTCACCTCAAACATTCTGATTGGTCAGCTGGGCAAATGAGGGCGGGGCTCCTCACTCATGCCCAATCCGCACGAGCAGAAGATGTAAAGGCCGCTAATGTCACATCCTGCTCTGTATCAAAACACCATGGAGATGCTCAGACTCCAGCCTATACCTGAAAGACAGAGAAAATAAAAATACCATGACATTAATAACCATATGAGTGTGTGTGTGTGTGTGTGTGTGTGTGTTTCCTGAGGCCTGCATGGAAACATGTTTGTGATGCCCGGGTTTGTAATCACTCCCTCATTCTCTCTCTACTGACATTTCAGCTCTAGTTGAGTGTGTCTCCTCCAGCTGTTTGGCAGATTAAGCGTGTATGTGACTGAGCCAGAGACTTATGTGAAATGAAGTCTTCAGTTTATTATTTCCCTTACAAAAACCAAAACAGAATCCAGAATCCATTTCTTGCTAGTGTTACTTTAGAATAATTTAAAAAATAACTAAATATTAATTAGACTTTAATAATAATAAAAACATATACAGAATGAATAATAATAATACAAAATAACAGCAGTTCAGTGTCCAAATAGTTTTCAGGTCACCGTCTCTAAAGCTTGCATGTTTTCTTCAGGCCACGTCGCAGCTGTCTTCGAGGGGAGAGTGAGGGGCACTTCCTGTTGTTCAGAAGCTCAACGGCTCCAGCGTGAGCTTCCTGTCTTGAGTTCTGGAGGGAAGAAAATCCCACTGTACCGTACATGATGATGTTTACAGAGTATGATACTCATTTTGGAAACATGGGTTGGCTTTATAATGGATGAAAGCTGAGGGCCAAAATTCCCTTTACAAAAATGTACTATAATAATCACTCTGCAAAAAAATAAATTCACAAATAGTAGGATAACAGAGAAGCTACATTTTGTGTTTTGTGAACAGACATTGTGAAATATTATTACAATTTAAAATAACCGTTTTCTATTGTATCATTTAAAATGTAATTTATTCCTGCGATGCAAAGCTGAATTTTCAGCATCATTACTCCAGTCTTCAGAAATCATTCTAATATGCTGATTTGCTGCTCAAGAAATTATTATTATTACACAGTTGTGCTGCCTAATACTTTTTGTGGAAACTGATACAATTTTCAGGATTAATTGAATAGAAAGTTCAAAAGAATTTTATTTATTTGAAATAGAAATCTTCTGTAACAATATAAATTAGTGCTGGGCGGTATGACCAAAGATTTATATCACGGTATTTTTCAATATTATACCGGTTTCACGGTACATGACGGTGCATACACCGGTATTGCGGTATTTTAAAAATTCATATCATAACAAAAATAAACACCGGTATTCGGTATGAACCGGTATACCGCCCAGCACTAATATAAATATCAATTTAATTTGCTGAAAAAATACATTAAAGTTATTTTTAAAAAGTAGGTTTTCACAGTAACCTTTTACATAAGGGGCCACAGTCAAACTGTTTCAATTTCAAAGTGAAGATGTTTCACCTTCCTTGTGTGTGTTTGTCAAACTCAGGAGGGTGTGGGATGAGGGTTTTGTGCACAGAGAGAGATCAAAACAAACCTGCTGTACCGCAAACAAAAGTGAAAGTTGTGTAATGCATATAATGTTGGGAACAATTGAATTTATATATTTTTTTAAAACTCCTTGTTGTAATAATCTTACCTGGCTAATAAATTCCAAATGAAATTGCAGTTTCAGAAAGAAAAAAAATGTATGTTTTACATTTTCAAAATGCCTTCATTTCCAACTAATCCTTAGAACAAGATCCTGTGCACTTAGCCGTTTCCTTTACAACTCCATTATTTACTGAACCTGAAAAACTTTATTCTCGCTACTGTCAGAAGATAAGCAGCTATGCATGACTTTTCTGACAAATACTTCACAACAAGAAAACCATGCACAAATAGTTACGTTCTTCCTCGTTTTGTCTTTCTCCAGGACTTTTTTGGGAAGTGCAAAGCTTGTGATGACAACCTGTTCTTTTAATATCGAGCCTCAAAGTCTGTCCAAGCCATTACAGGAAACTCTTCATCAATCAGACAATCACAGGGTCAAACCAATGATATCTAAACCAGTAGATGCAAAATCACCATCACAGATCGAGAGAAACAAGCATATCCAAACATCAGGCTGTCATTTTATTATTGACACATCAAGCACCGCTGTCAGACGCATCCCAAAAGTAAAGGGATGTTTGTGAGGGTGCGGTTGGGCTGATGGCATGAATCCAATCGCTTCCAGCAGCATTGTGTCTGATCCAGACGTTAATGCAGAGCTCATGACGGCTGCCACTGTGATTATACCAGCATGACTTCCAACAGTCTCTATCTAAGTGACACCTGAAATAAATTACACTCGTCCCATATATTCTCAGCCTCCCGTTTTGCTTAAGGCCAAGGAGAAGCGTCAGTACACCTCCATTAGCAGCATGTCATGTCATCTGTTCATCAATCTCCCCTCTGACCCACAGTTACTCTCCAGCAAGCTGTCTGCAATTATCCAAACCGTTACAAACTACAACAAAATCCAGAGGGCTCGAGTTTAAACCAGACTTATTTCAATGGTCAAAAAAGAAATATATATATAGTCAAATGCACAATTCTCGCAATTAACAGCATCATAAAGTTCACATTAACACATTTATGAATTTATACTCCGTTTTAGTTGATAAGTCAGAGCTATAGGTGTATATTTAGTCTAGTTAGGCTTAACAGTGTAACTATTAGTGGAACTTAATAGTATTATAAATTAGTGCTGTCAAACGATTAATCACATCCAAAATAAAAGTTTTTGTTTACATAATATATATGTGTGTGTACTGTGTATATTTATTATGTATATATAAATACACACACATACAGCATATATTTTGAACGTTTTGTTTTACATGCATATATTTATATTCATATAATTCATATTATATATAAATATATTTAATATATAAATGTAACATTTTTCGTAATGCATGTGTGTGTATTTATATATACATAATAAATATACACAGCACACACACATATATTATGTAAACAACTTTTATTTTGGATGCGATTAATCGCGATTAATCGTTTGACAGCACTGTATAGAATTATTTATAAAAAAATGTTTTTAAATACTCTTAATATTCAAATTGTTAGACCAGTTTGTCTTTACAAATAATGTATTCTCTTTTTAAAAGGACTTAATAAATAAATAAATTAAGTTCATATAAAACGAAACGTCTTAAGATTGGTTGACTTAAAGTTAATAGGTCGTGTTCATGAATGATTTAATTCATAAATCAGATGTCAGCAAAGGGCATTTTAATTCTGTCTGAACATGAATCACAACATTCCTGTAATTTATCACTATGACCCATTGATTAAAATGAACATAGATGATTATATTTATTTGTTTTCATCATGACATCTGAGGCTCAGATGTTATGATACAAATAAATATAAGCGTCTATATTCAGATTCTGAGCGGAAATACGTGAACAAAGGCAGCACAGAGATGCTCGATATAATGCAGTGTTAGGAAAAAACAAGCCATTTGATCTGATGCAACAGATTTCATAATCCCTGCAGATGGCACATCAGATTATCCAGATCTTTAAAACAGGCAGAGTTATAACAATCAGAAAACACATCTACACATCCCATGATCACTCATTTCAAAACATACACGGAATACAAATGGTTTAACTAGATGCATTGATCTGCATCCCGATGCACGAGAGCCAATGTCCATCTGAGCCTCCCTCACAAACTCGTCCACTCACCTACATACACACAAATATACCTACATGCCTAATCAAAGAGCGGAGAACCTCGCTCTCTTACCTCTAGTTCACTTAAAATCCGTTTCTTCTTCTTCTGAGCGCTACTGGTGCATGCGGCTCCTGTCACTTCGAGCGTTTGAGACAAAAAGCGAAGAGAGCGAGGAGAGCGAGGAGGGAGGGGTATTTGGGGAAGCGTTCAGGGCAACTCTAGCGTCAGTGAGCCACAATTACGTCATAGAGTCCGCGACATTTATTTCATGATAAAAGTCCCTGAGCGCTTTCTTTCTTTATTTATGGATGTCAATTACAAACATTATAATGCATATTTAATTTTTAATAACTACATTTCAAAACATACACGGAATACAAATGGTTTAACTAGATGCATTGATCTGCATCCCGATGCACGAGAGCCACTGTCCATCTGAGCCTCCCTCACAAACTCGTCCACTCACCTACATACACACAAATATACCTACATGCCTAATCAAAGAGCGGAGAACCTCGCTCTCTTACCTCTAGTTCACTTAAAATCCGTTTCTTCTTCTTCTGAGCGCTACTGGTGCATGCGGCTCCTGTCACTTCGAGCGTTTGAGACAAAAAGCGAAGAGAGCGTACATTACTTTAATAAAGTAATTAAAAAGTTACACTACTTATTACATTTTAAGTAGGGTAACTTGTAATCTGTAACCTATTACATTTCCAAAGTAACCTTCCCAACACTGCTTACCTACTATAGGTCCCTTATTCGAAAATAAAGAACAATTTGTACAGTTATTCTAGGGATTCTAAACGTGCAATTTAATTTAAGCTTGCCACTGTTTTTAGATCACTTCCTATCATTTCAGGAATAAATCTTAAATTATTATTTAAATGATAGAGAGGCGAAATTATTGTATAGATTAGGTGCTTTTATTATGCATACCCTTCTATTTTAGGTTTAGTCGCGTGATCAAAAGACTTTTATTGTGGACATTCCTCTGGAACGTCATTTACGGAGTGTTTGAAAGACTTTTATTATGTAAATATCAGCCGGGACTGTGAAGAAAAGCTTTGGCAAGTCAACTTACAAATGTTATTGGTAAATGTGAGAGGCGCTGCGTGATTTTTCTTCCTACAATAAAACTGTGATGTGACCGAAGTAACTGTAACTGCCCAGAACTGACGTTCGCCGTCAAAATTAAGGGCGCAAAATCAATTTACTGGAGAACCTCCATCCACATGCATAACAAACAATGGTGAGTTTTTGTCATATCTGGCTTTGAGCTTCTCATCACTCTCAGAAAATGTTGGTGTGCATGATATTAGAAAATAATAGCTTTGTAGCTCGTGCGAATAATAGTAATCGTGCATTAGTAATGTTAAATCATGTCAAAATTCTCTACTATAGTCACCAAATGCGTTAATGCAACATTAAACATAATTAATATGAAACGGGGTGGATTTAATATTGAAGTCCAGTTTATTTTGGACGCTTCTAGTGCACCATTACTCTTCGTTGAAGATTTTTTTTTCTTAACCCTGTTAACCTACATGCAAACACTGTCAAGGACTAGGAAGGACACCTGCTGTCAGTTGCTCTGATAATTACATGATTAATATTTAACATATCATCTAATTTGGGCATGCATGTGTATGCATATCTATATTGTGAACCAATATGCATTATTTATTTTATTTACAACTGCAGTTTAAGCAGAGACCTAATCTTGAGCTATATGCATTCAATAATCTTTAATATATTTCTTATGAATATAAAGTGTAATCAGGCAAGCATGAATTTATTTTGATGCCGCTAATATTAATTATATAACAACACAAAATGGACAGTGTTTCCCAATGATATCAGAGCTGATGCACCCAGACAGATATGACATCCTATCAAGTGATATAACTGAAGATGATGATGATGTCTAGAGTAGAGAGGAGATCAGACTCATGCAGTCGGTCAAGCGGTGCCAGACACTGATTCCGGCTGCTCTGTTCATGGACACAGCGTCTGCTACAGGACCAGAATATGGATGCTGATTTTCAGACGAGATGCATTTGAAATCAGGCTATTCTTAGAAAATAGAAATGTGAGCTTTGGATCTGGATCATAATGCCATTTAAGCCCTGAAAATTTGATATGTGCTTGAAAGCGTCTCCGCTGATGCTTTGCTTCATAGGACTCTAATGGTGCAGCATGAGATGAGATGAAGTCTGTCTTTTACGCAGTGAAATCCGAGCAGAGCCAGGTAAGCGAACAACATTTTGCTTTTCAGGCATATTTTCTTGCAATGAGAAATGCAGCGTGGCACACTGGAAACAGCCAGAAAACCACTGCTGGAATGTTTTTGCAGATGGACTGATTGTTATTCACTGTCTTCAGAATCAGATAAATGAACTCCAGTGAAGCATCAGCTCAGCCTCATGTCGTTTCTGGTGAGAGTCAAATCTTTTCATCCCCAGCTTGTTTGTGCAAAGCTCAATGCATTCTGTATTTCATGCTTTCTGTGTTTATTTCTGCAGTTCTTCATTCTGGGTATCAGAAATGTGTTTGCATGAAGGTTTTGATTCTGGGTTTAGTGTTCAGTATAGTAGTAGAGCTTTAGGTATGTGTTTATGGGCTGAAGATGTTCGCTGAACAATATCCATGGCCTGATTATTCTCTAATCCCTAGATATCAGCACATTTAATAATAAACGTCCTCATTAATATCCACCAATCCTCCACCTCACCTCTTAATCCAGGAGGCTCATGTCAATGTCTCACTCATAAAGACATGTTCTGGATTCAATAAAGGTTCCTTAAGCATGAAACAAATGAAAGTTGTGTTTGCAGTTTCCTGTGTCACTCATTAATACATAAATAAATGTTGTCAAAATGATTAACAGCCATTAAAAAGCATGTTAATTTTGCATTGTTTATAAGTAATTTCATAAAAGAACATTTAGATATCAAATCTGGGTAAAATTCTTGGAAATTAGTGTTTTTCCACAATTATTTGTTATAATCAAATATACATCAGTTAAATACTAATGTCTGTAAGTGACAATTCAACCACTATTAATATCATAATGTGTCTGTTAAATGAATATTTCACCCAAAAATGAAAATTTGCTGGGAATTTACTCACCCTCAGAGCATCCAAGATGTAGATGAGATGTTTCTTCATGGGAACAGATTTGGAGAAATGTAGCATTCCATCACTTGCTCACTATTGGATCCTCTGGAGTGAATGGGTGCCGTCAGAATGAGAGTCCAAACAGCTGATAAAAACATCACAATAACCCACACCAGTCCGGTCCATCAGTCAAAGGGATAGTAGGATTACTTGTGGATTATTGTGATGTTTTTACTCTCATTCTGACGGCACCCATTCACTCTAGAGGATCCATTGGTGAGCAAGTGATGCGATGCTACATTTCTCCAAATCTGTTCCCATGAAGAAACAAACTCATCTATATCTTGAATAGCCTGAGTGTGAGTAAATTCTCAGCAAAGTTTCGTTTTTGGGTGAACTATTCCTTTCACGTTATAAAGAAATGTTCCGGGTTCAGTTTGTAAAAACAAACAAAAATTGTTTCATGTTTTGCATCGAAAACGGAAAATTCCTTTAACCATGACTTAATCACACATGGCAAGGCTGACTCTGCACCGCAGCATTTCCATAATCATCTCCTCCTTTTGCCGTGTCTTTGCCCATCAGCCCACCCTTGCTCAATTCATGCATATTTATACTGTGGATATAGTCGTATTCATCTCCATATTCATTTGTGGGGTGGGGGGCGTGTCTCATGTCTCCTCCCCTCTTCCCCTCAGGACTGCACCTGTATCTCCTCCCACTCACAAGTCCAGCCCATCAGCATAGAGGAGCAGTATGAAGACATCAGCCATCAGTGCTCGGTCAGTAGAGTCTAACAATAGATCGCGGCTTCAGTGTGTTTGAAGGCAACAGGCATTGACTTTTGTCTTCTTCAGACGAGCCATTCAAGAGAGATTCACACTGACACTGATTCAATTACTGCACTACTGGGGTCCGTTAGCGGGATTGAGGAAAAATTCAGAATTTAGGAGCTGGTTCATGTTGGAGGGAGAATTTGAATTTGTCACAAAACACAGTGCGTTGAAATAACGTTTGAATAGGAACAATGGGAAATATGCAAAATCCAAATGACATATCATACACTACCGTTCAAAGGTTTTGAGTTGATAGTGTTTTTATTTATTTATTTTTTTCTAAATTTGAAAGAAGCCTTTTATGCTCACCAAAGCTGCATTTATTTGATCCAAAATACAGTAAAAACTGTAATATTGTGAAATATTATTATAATTAATGTGATATATTTTAAAATGTAATTTATTCCTGTGACGCGCAGCTGAATTTTCAGCATCATTACTCCAGTTTTCAGTGTCACATTATCCTTCAGAAATCATTCTAATATGCTGATTTGCTGCTCGAGAAACATTTCTGATTATTAACAGTGTTAAATACAGTTGTTCTGCATAATATTATTGTTGAAGGATCAACAATTATACATAAAAGGATTTTTTGATAAATAGATAGTTCAGAAGGATAGCATTTATTTGAAATATATTTTTGTAACCATATAAATGTCTTTACTGCCACTTGATCAATTTAATGCATCCTTGCTGAATAAAGATATTTATTTCTTAAAATACTTTTTTATTTCTTTCCAAGAATATAACCGTTGATGATTATACTGTATGGCAACAAAAAAAAAAAAATTTATCAATTAATACTGATTGATAAATAAATACTGAAAATACTTTTTTTTTTGCAAAATGTACAAAATGTTTATTGCATTGTATTTAGGTAGTTCTATAAAAAAAAATTTTTTCATCAAAATCTGGAGTAAGTTCTGGGAAGTTACAGTGAATGTTTTCCCACTATCATTTGCAATAATCAAATATATCAATTCAGTTATTTTGGAAATGCTCCGTATTCCGTTAAATTCCATTTTCTGCTTCTATGAATTCAAATAAAAACTGTGTCCTGTTTGATGACTCAATTCAGAAATTGAAACCCACTCTGAATGACACTTATTTGAGTATTATGCCATTTGTTGTTCGTGTTTGTCTGCTGTATGAGACCGTATCAGTAGATCACTTTGGTAGTTGCTGCATCATAGTTTGTCGCATTGTCGTCGGCCGCTGTTGCCCACGTCGCCTCAAATCACACACAGACTCTGATTTAAAATGAATGACTTCCGTTTGCTTTGTCGCTGCAAATAGCTGTCAGTGTGAAAAGCCCTGTAGGATATGAGAGAGCACAGTCACGCCAGTGAAACATCATCGCATAATCACAAACTCCAGTGAGCTTCAGGTTGTTGTTGTGCTCAAGTTTGATCTGAGTGGATCCATTGTATTGGGCATCACAAAGCAGTGTTTCTGTTCCATCGTTCTGGATGAAAGCTCACTTGTGCTGTTGTCCTGTGTTTTGGGCTGAAGGATACATCTGTGGGTTGTCTTTAGATTTTCTCATCCTGTGGCAGAAATATTTGGTGTTTGACTGCAGTGATCTGGGCCACTTTCCCATTCATGGTCTAAAGAGGCTTTTCCAAAAATGCTTCAATAAAAAGTTATAGGCTTAAGAACTTAAAGTCTAAAATGCTGACATGTTTATAGAAGCTACCTGAATAATTACGAATCTTGTTTAATGGCACAGTGATTTGAATATTACTCTATCACCCCCTAGAGTTCTCAGCTATGTAATGCATGTCAAGTTGCATGTCAACTGATTTGCTGCTCGAGAAACATTTCTGATTATTAACAGTGTTAAATACAGTTGTTCTGCATAATATTATTGTTGAAGGATCAACAATTATACATAAAAGGATTTTTTGATAAATAGATAGTTCAGAAGGATAGCATTTATTTGAAATATATTTTTGTAACAATATAAATGTCTTTACTGCCACTTAATCAATTTAATGCATCCTTGCTGAATAAAGATATTTATTTCTTAAAATACTTTTTTATTTCTTTCCAAGAATATAACCGTTGATGATTATACTGTATGGCAACAAAAATAAATAAATTTATCAATTAATACTGATTGATAAATAAATACTGAAAATACTTTTTTTTTTGCAAAATGTACAAAATGTTTATTGCATTGTATTTAGGTAGGTCTATAAAAATATTTTTTTTCATCAAAATCTGGAGTAAGTTCTGGGAAGTTACAGTGAATGTTTTCCCACTATCATTTGCAATAATCAAATATATCAATTCAGTTATTTTGGAAATGCTCCGTATTCCGTTAAATTCCATTTTCTGCTTCTATGAATTCAAATAAAAACTGTGTCCTGTTTGATGACTCAATTCAGAAATTGAAACCCACTCTGAATGACACTTATTTGAGTATTATGCCATTTGTTGTTCGTGTTTGTCTGCTGTATGAGACCGTATCAGTAGATCACTTTGGTAGTTGCTGCATCATAGTTTGTCGCATTGTCGTCGGCCGCTGTTGCCCACGTCGCCTCAAATCACACACAGACTCTGATTTAAAATGAATGACTTCCGTTTGCTTTGTCGCTGCAAATAGCTGTCAGTGTGAAAAGCCCTGTAGGATATGAGAGAGCACAGTCACGCCAGTGAAACATCATCGCATAATCACAAACTCCAGTGAGCTTCAGGTTGTTGTTGTGCTCAAGTTTGATCTGAGTGGATCCATTGTATTGGGCATCACAAAGCAGTGTTTCTGTTCCATCGTTCTGGATGAAAGCTCACTTGTGCTGTTGTCCTGTGTTTTGGGCTGAAGGATACATCTGTGGGTTGTCTTTAGATTTTCTCATCCTGTGGCAGAAATATTTGGTGTTTGACTGCAGTGATCTGGGCCACTTTCCCATTCATGGTCTAAAGAGGCTTTTCCAAAAATGCTTCAATAAAAAGTTATAGGCTTAAGAACTTAAAGTCTAAAATGCTGACATGTTTATAGAAGCTACCTGAATAATTACGAATCTTGTTTAATGGCACAGTGATTTGAATATTACTCTATCACCCCCTAGAGTTCTCAGCTATGTAATGCATGTCAAGTTGCATGTCAACGATGAATTGCAATATTACAAAATTATTTAAAGCAAAAAACCTGGAGGTTCAAGACTTGTACTTATGAAGGATTGAATGAGCTCCAATAAAGCATTGTGGACTGTGTAATTAATTACTATGTTTAATATAATAATTATTATTTTTTTCTTATTTGAAAACACTGCTACTGTGGTTCAATGGCACTAGCAGCACCAAGGCTGTGTTTGATTCGCAGGGAATGCATGAACATGAAATGTATATGCCATTTCTGAAATGCTTTTTATGTTATTCCCTCATTTCAATTGATACCGTGAAATATTCTACACCCACTAACCTCCATCTTAACTACAAATATTCTGATCTGCAAAAGATCCGTGTTTCTCAGTAGTGTTATTTTAGTATTATAATATACTATACTATGGGGTGTTTTGGAGGAGCGAGTCAGGAAACGTTTTCCTCCACCAGCATCACGTAGAGACCTGGCCACTGTTCTGCAAGAAGAATGGCTCAAAATCCCTCTGGCCACTGTGCAGGACTTGTATCTGTCATTCCCAAGACGAATTGATGCTGTATTGGCCGCAAAAGGAAGCCCTACACCCTACTAATAAATTATTGTGGTCTAAAACCAGGTGTTTCAGTTTCATTGTCCAACCCCTGTAGTTTTTACCAATATTTTGAATGAGCTTTTATTTTTATATTTTAAATTTAAATTTCTTTTAAATAATTTAATTTTTATTAATCAATGGTGTGTATTTATTTATTTAGTTTAGTTTGATTTATTTCGTTTTTATCTATTTCCAATCAGTAATTTTTGTTAATTGCCAAGGCAACATTTCTCATTTTCATTGTCATTTATGGTTACACTTTAGTTCAGGGAATACTATTCACTATTAACTGGTTGCTTATTAGCATGCATATTACTAGCAAATTGGCTGTTTATTAGTGTGTATAAAGCACATATTAATGCCTTATTCTGCATATATGACCATATTCTACATCCCTTATCCCTAAACATAATTACTACAACAATCAGAGTTTATTAAGGGCAAAACTCTGTAAAGTCCTACCATATTTATATTTTATTTATATTTATTTCAGTTTTATTTCATTTAACACATTTTTTTTTTAAAGTTTTTAAGTTTTAGTTAACAATAATAACACTACTTAATAAAACTGATCTGAGGCCAGAAAACAGAGGCGACTTCATCCATGACCTTTCCATCTCCAGTCTCTGGAAGCAACAGTTCCTCTAGCATCACATTAGTGTTAGGCACAGGACAGGAAGTGTCTTATTATGTTCTGTTTATATTTGATTCTTCCCTAGAATAACCCAGTAAACACGACCAGCATTGTGTGGAGTGTTTTATCAGGTAGAGTCGTGTGTGTGTGTGTGTGCTATATGTTTGTTCATGTGTGTTTGTGTGCTGTGTTATGTGTGTGACAGAGCAGTGATGTCTCTCCGTGTTCTGTGTTGACGGATGAAGATGACATCACAGATCTTTCCACTGACCCCGCCCACTATCAGCTGCTCTCACAACTGGGTAATGACCGTGACCTACTTTATACAGTATATGGTATGTGTTAGCTACTCCCTGAAGTCTCATGTCTATATCATGTGTTTATATCGCTGTGTTTTGTCCTCTGTCTGTGGACAGGCCGGGGCTTTAATAACCTCAGTCAGGTGAGCATGGCTCGACACACACCGTCTGGCCGGCTGGTGGCGGTGAAAAACACTAACCTGGATGAGTGTACAGAAGATGAGCTGCTGCAGCTGATGGTGTGTACATGCTTATGAGAACATCACGCTGATTTCTACTATTTTAAAATGAAGCTTTATTGGATTGTAGTTTTTTAATAAAGCTTGGCATATAAAATTATAGTCATTTTTTTTTTTAAATCAAATTGTCTATTGAAACTTTGAGTAAATATAAATAACTTTTTTGGGGGGGTAATTGTTCATATTTTATACATCAGGCTTTTATGGAATTGCATTTACAATCTTTGCAGCATTTCTGTTGATTTATGTATTTATTTATTTAATTGTGAAATGCTCATTTATTATAATTGTGTGCGTGCAACATCATTATTATAAAATAATAAATAAAGTAAATATAAATATGTAATTTATATATTGTATACTGTATATATGACACATTTATAAATTATATAATACATTTTATGTGTGTGTGTGTGTATATATGTGACCCTGGACCACAAAACCATTGTCATAAGGGTCTATTTTTTTAAAATTGAGATTTATGCATCATATGAAAGCTGAATAAATAAGCTTTCAATTTGCTACTTATGACTGGTTTTGTGCTCCAGGGTAACATATATATATATATATTTAAAATGGGCTAAAATAAAAGGAATGAATGAATATATATATATATATATTAGTGCTGTCAAACGATTAATCGCATCCAAAATAAAAGTTTTTGTTTACATAATATATGAGTGTTGTACTTTGTATATTTATTATGTATATATAAAGACAAACACATGCATGTTTATTTAAGAAAAATGTGTTATGTTTATATATTATATATATTTATATTAAATAAAAAATATAATAATATAAATGCATATACATGTAAATATTTTCAAAATATAT